GTTGCTGAGTTTGTGCTTTCACCTTAACTGAATAGAAAGTTGACAACTCAGCGCCAGCCTCGTGCGTTTGTGTCCTCTTTGCTGCAATCAATGAGGTCAACCTCCTTTTTACTTTTCCATAAATTTTCGCGATATCCTTTTCACAGGTCGCGCAAATTTCCATTCAAATTCCTGCCTAAAACTGACGCTCAACATGGAAATTGTAACCTCTTTGAGACTGAAAATGTTAGGTATAAAAGGTTGCTTTATTTTATTCGCATCAAATATGGCATCTAAATAAACATTCAAATTCTGACGAGCTCATATGTGAGCTTCTTATATCGCTTAAGAAAGGCCTTAGACTATTCGGCAAGGCTGTTTAAGTTAGGCGAGCCAGACCTTTTCTAAAGAAGAAGCCCTGGAATTAAGGAACAGTGCCGACGGGTACATGTGCACACAATTTTCATATTTAACTCAATATTAACTTCTGTCTGGTAATGAAATAGCGAGCTATCGCCATTGGCTAAAACACGCAATGTCTGAAGGTCGTGTAAAGCAAAATCGATCGAACCTACATTTGAACCATTTGGCAGCCAATCGGGGTAACCGAGGTTGTGCGAGTCAGTGAAGAAGATGAACAGCGCCTGCGCCAATATAGGACAGCCTTCGTCAAAGCGTGAAAACCGTACGTATTTCCTATACTTAACATTTGCAAAATCTTGCAGTAGTCAGAAGATAACCAGAAATTTTTTTTTTCTGTGCTCTTTTAGATTAACTAGATTCTAAACACAAACATATTCCGTAAAATGATGATTTATCGACTGACTACTATACATTCTTGGCGTGCTAATGTCTTTTAGTTTGCCTACGTATTTTAGAAGATGTTTTTTCACTTTAATTCACTACTGTATCAGCAGTGCTTGGCCGAACCAGCAGTTAAACCATTTGTCATTAGTTGGGATCCCGTGACATTTCCCCCTCTCGGAAAATTATTAACTCTTTTAATGGAATTTGTGAGTAACAGGAGACTGCTTTTATAAGCGATGAGGTCCTAAGTGTTGATATAGGGCAGTGAGTAAAAACAGGAATTTATCATTTTTGCTGTACTTTAATATCCCGGATAAGGTTCTTTTAAGAATGCGTCGGTCGCAATGAATTTCCACATATATACTGTTCACGTTTCTCTAGGGTTTCGTAGATAGATAAGATTCTAGCTTTAATTTTCGAAAATTCCCATTGAAAAATTCAGAAGATGAATTGGCGAACATACGTTTG